AGGAATCAGCCAACAAGAGTTTAAGGGCGTCCATGTCCAGCTGACCAGGGAGTCCAGGGATGAGGCCAGCCAGAATGTGATGTGTACTACTCCCCAGGGAGGAGGTGAGTGTCGGGGGCGGGGGGAGGAGGGAAGGAAAGGTGCAGGGATCAACAGGCCCACTGTCACACAGTTATGCTGTCAGAGGCCAAGGATACCAGTCTCTTATCCCTATGTTTCTCCAGAGTCTAGCCCAGGGCACATGACGTAGATGTCTAGGAAACCTGATGAATGATGGAATAAGCCAGAAGGTGGTCTTAAGCATCTCCTCTGCCCCTGGCCTATGGGAAAGCATGGAACTCTTCTAATGGGCTATCTGACTAGCCCAAGGTGGGAACTGGCTTTGCACGGCTAAGGCTCAGGCTACTCCTGAACAGGGAGAAGGTCACTGACTGATTGCATGGCACAGGGACATTTGCCAGGGTGATTCTGAAAGTCTAACTGCATGCCAGGAGCGGCCTGTGAAAGCCTGTCCTATGCAAACCCCCAATGTCAGTTGCTACTCAGACATATCGTGCATCCCTTCCCCTTCCTGACTGATGCAAAGGGACTCAGGACGACACTGAGACACTGACAAGTAAGCCTGGGCAGTGGGGACAGGTACAGCAGGAGGAGCAGGGCCAGCCCCCAGCACACATGAGACGGCCAGGAAGCGGGCATGTGCTGTCCCCAAGTGCCCCAGCGCCATGCCGTGCCAGCCAGCAGGTAGCCAGGCATGAGAAAGCTGGGTGCCCGCTTGGTGAACAAGCCACGGTCCCATCATCCTGGTGTCCAGATGCTAAGCAGTTCCACCCTCCTTGCACAGTGCTGCAAGCTCCGAGCTTTCCAGGAAGACCTACTGAGATGCAGGATGCTGTATTTTCATTGCCGCCCCAGGGCCTGCTCCAGGACTCTGGTGTGCACATGCCTTGATGGAGGCTAGAAGCACTTTGTGCTGAGGTAACTCAGCCAGGGTAGCCCAGTTAAGGACCTAGTGATTTCCCATTCATACCAGATGACTATAACTGAGCATCCCTTACATCTCCCGAATGGTAATTTTAAAGCCGACTTATAGAACGTTCCATGTCAAGTGGAATTTACCTAAGTGGCAGCCCCAGGAGGCTGGAGGATGTGTGTTTAGTAAAACACTATTTTAGCACTACTGTAGCGTGGCTCTGGAAGCCTATGGCTGTGGCCACAGTTTATGGGCTGCACCCTTATGTGGAAATCTTCACTGACAAAAACACATTGCTAGCGTCTTAACACTGTGGGCATTTTAGCAAGTATTTGCAAACTTCAGATCCTTTTTCACCATACCATAACACACCTGGGAGGCAGGGAGGGCGGATGCTATTTACCCACTTGACTCATGAGGAATCTGAGGCCTGGGTCTGGCAAGCTGGCTGTGAACCAGGGCTGAACCACCAGGCTGGCGGGCTGGCGGCCTTCCCACTGCTCACACTCCAGAATCAGCCTGGCCCCAGACAATTGTCCCAAAGGGATGGCACCATCCTCCTTGGACACAGGCTGTCTGGGCACCAGGGCAGACCTTTCGGTTGCAGTCCTGCAGGGAAGGGCCTGGGCGTCGGTGGGAGGAAAAGGGGCTGGGTCTGAGTGTGGGGCAGGAGCTGTGTCGAGCCCAGCCCCTTAGAGGCACCATACAACCTGCCACACACAACAGGCACCCGCTGAGCCTTGCCAATGAGCTGAGGATGGACAGGTGGACAGGTCCTCTTCGCCTGCCTCAGGCTTTCTAAGGTGGGCATGAGTCAGATCCAAGGGAGCTGGGCAGGGAGGGGGGCACCCCTTCCTCCAGCCTTTTATTTCTGAAGGGGGACTCTCAGGGGCTTTCTTCAGCAACCATGCTGCTGCTGCACCTGTTTCCTCCTCAAATCGCACAACTGAACATCACAAAGGAGCACGTGCACCCTCTCCCGACACACACTGGGCCCTCTTAGCCCTGGTCCTGAGCGGCCTTCCATCGGCACCGCCCTTGGGGAGCTGCAGGTGAGACATTCACTAGACCCACTGGTCGGACTCAGAGCAGACACGGGACACAGGTGACGACACCAGCAGCGGCTGCCACATGCTCAGCGCATGGATGGGAGCTCCCTCCTGTACCTCCACAGAAGTGGAGATGAGTGGCACAGGGCACACATCATTAACTCCATTTTATAGCTGGCGAAGTGGAGGCACAGGACGGTCAGGTGACCTGCCACGGTCACACACTGGCAAGTGAGAACAGTCACATACTCACACGATTAACTCCTAGCCCTTAAGACGTTAATGAGGTCTTTTTTTTAAATACTGATTTTGTTCCCAAAGGGCAATTCTACATTTATTTCCCCAATATTTCTGGGCGAGGGGATGGAGAGGGGGTGGAGGTGGGGAGACAATGAATTGTCCTTAGCCTTTCCAGACGAATTGGCGCTTGGATTTCTAAAGTGTGTGGGGACTCACGGGGAGGGCTTCTAGCATCATCTATGTTACACACAATGAAAACAACACGTTATAGGACACAAAGTTGGCTACTTACATTCACTTCAGTTATAGCAATATCAACGACGCTACCAACAACAATTAAGGCATCAAAAGTGTTCCATGCATCAGTGAAATAGTGCTGTGAGGGCAAGCATTCAGAAGCCACAGAGGAGAGGAAGCACAACAGAAAAAAGAAGAGAAGGACAGTGTTATCGAAGGGCCATTATGCCACCCGGCTGCTCCAAAAATCGCCCTAAAACAAACAAGTTACAGATACGTCACTTTGGGTAGCGCTTTTGACACAGCAGATAAAAACAGTTAGACACACCCTATCTTACCTCACCTCGCCTACTCCTGTCTGCTACGCTAACCGCTGCAAGAATGTGCTCCAAAGCTGACCATGTCTGCAAAGGCCTAGGGACAGGCTCTATGCTAACAGGCTTCTCCCTCACGGCTTTCATTGGGAAGTTCCTAGTTTTCGGATCAAGGGAATTGGGATCTGTGACTTGTCCAGGTGATGCCACTGCAGGGCAGGGAGCGGAATGTGCACAGACAGAGGACAGAGGACACGGTGGGCGGCCTCGCCGGGTGCATACTCACGTCAGCTTCGCTGAGGGCCACGTCTATAATGCTGCCGATTACGATGAGGGAGTCAAACGTGTTCCAGGCGTCACTAAAATACCCCTGGACAGAGCGGGCAGGGGCAGACGTTGATGAGCATGTATGAAGGAAACCACACGGACCATACGGGGACACATCCGAGTCCCCACAGCACCCATGGCAACCAGGAGGGGTGGGATAAGCCAAGGGGGAGCAACAATACTGTCCACTGGTGGAAAGGGACAAAGAGGACGGCTGTGCACCTGGATGTGTGAGAGAAGGCGCACCCACGTACACACACACGCATGCGCACACACCACTCAGAACTCTGTAGGACAGGGGGCGGGGAGCACATGCTAACTCTGCCCTGGCCCAGAGGGAGGGCCCCAAATCCTCTCGAGCTGGCGCAGAGTGAGCCTCTCCATCCCCTGCTGCTTCTCTTCTCCCTTTCAAGAGCACGGTCACCACGCAGTTATTCCCACGTTGCACTCTGGTGCCCCTTCCAACCAGCCAGCAGCCCGACCCCGTCCTCACCAGTCCACAAAGTATTCAAGGTTTGTTCCCTGTGGCAAGACGACTGAGACGAGTCCCTTTCTTCAAAGGGCTCTCAGCCTGCCGGATGTATGTGGCAGTCCAGCGCAGTGACGGCCTGAGATGTAGCCCCGGGGCAGAGAAACACACTCCTGACTACAGGGCTGGGGGCTTCCAGAGGCAGCCAGGGGAGCCGACAGGCTCCTTCTCCCACTTGACTCCTACTCTCCCCTCTCCCTCTCGTCTTCCAGCCAAGAGGACTCTCCCATTCCTCAAGAGCACCACCAGGTCCTTCCCCACCTCCTGGTGCCTCTGCCATCCTAACCTCCCTGCTCTGACTCTACCTGCCCAGATCCACGTCCTCTTTCAAGGACAGCTGCCCCTTCCGATTGCCCACGCGGCATCGTGTCGGCCTAGTATCTCTCCCGTGTCTGCATCTGGAATCTGGGTCCACCACCCTCACAGCCTCTGAGAATGAGAACTACTGTCTGCTTACTCCACCTCCTAGCTCCACCACGTCCACTGTCTGGCCCGGAGCCCCGAGACACTGCCATGTCTCCTTCCTCTGCCCGCTTTGTTCCTTGTTTCTTCAGGTCCTTCTGCCTCTGAAAGCACACAATCCTCCCCAGCTGTGACTTGCAAATGCACACAGCCAGCCTGTGTGTCTTCTAGCACCAGCACAAGAGGTGCCAGACCAGTGCCTGTTTCCTCCTACTGCCCTGGGAGGCCCTTGATCAGAGGGCCGGCGGGACGTGCGGCAGAGCCAGGAGGCTTCTGGTCACAAGGCATACACTGCCAGGGTCAACAACTCTGTCTATAAATCAACCATGTCTTCTTGAAAAGTCAGAACCTGTTTTGGAAATCAAAATTCAGGTCTGAATTACATAAAAGAGGCCCCAGCATGTTAACAACCAGGTACATTTAGCCTCACACTGGGGGGGGAGGGAGAAGCAGAACAGAAGGGACTTTGAAGTGTCAGGTCCCAGGAACGCGTGGTCAAATGCAGGCCCAGAGGAAGCCACTGCAGAACCATAGCCTCTGTGACACTGTAGAAAATGTGGACGTGGTACCTGTCTTAGTAACTGGACCAGGGGTTATTCCAGCTCATTCTAGTTACTGTTAGTCACTCCGGGTGCCTGTATGGGGAGCTCAGACGTGCTAACAGTTTTTTTCAAATTTCATCTTATGTCATATAGAACTTCCCTACCCAACTGCCATGATTCCTGACCCCTCTGAACTCTTCCACAGGTTCCGATCACAGGAAGCTTTCTCATAATTCACCTCCTGTCACCCTCCAAACATCTCTCGGCCGTCTAACAAGTTGACCAAAGGAGCAGCCTACATCACACCCGAGGCCCTATGTCTAAAGTCTAAGGCCTGCTTTAAAAACACCCCAGCTCACACCTTCTAGTTTTTCTTCTCATGCATTTCTGACTCTTAGCTGGCAAAACAGAAGAAGAATGGAATTCAAAACAGAGGAAGAGTGGAATTCAAAATGGAGGAAGAATGGAATTCAAAACGGCAAGAGTGGGCCAGTTTTGACGTCCAGACTAGTGATATCCAACACGCTGATGAGAGGTGAGAGAAAGAGCCAGCACCAGGATGGAAAGGAACACACTGTCACTTTCACTGAGGAAGTCTCCTACCAAAATGTCGCCCCTGATGTCGGGCTGATGTATCTGAGATGAAAGCGAGCTGGCCCCTCTTTTCAATTATTTACATGCAAATGGATAACAGGTGTTCTCTCCTGGCAGCTATGCCACCAGCCATGAGAGAGGCAGAGCCCAGCCTTGTGTTTATGGACTTAACGGCAACTCACAAGCTAAAGAACGTGGTTGTCCTTCTCCTCCTCCAGGGAGGAATTTATGCCTGAAGTAGAACCTCGGTCCTGAGTAGCAACTAGACTTCCCAAGTACTGACATGCGTGCTTCTCTCCCTCACCCACCTGTGCCAACGCTCTGCTTCTCCCTCACCCACCTGTGCCAACGCTCTGCTTCTCCCTCACCCACCTGTGCCAACACTCTGCTTCTCCCTCACCCACCTGTGCCAACGCTCTGCTTCTCCCTCACCCACCTGTGCCAACGCTCTGCTTCTCCCTCACCCACCTGTGCCAACGCTCTGCTTCTCCCTCACCCACCTGTGCCAACACTCTGCTTCTCCCTCTCCCCACCTGTGCCAACGCTCTGCTTCTCCCTCACCCCACCTGTGCCAACACTCTGCTTCTCTCTAGGAACTAGGTCTACCCTGTGCACACTGGATGCCAACCCCTCTCACTGACTTTGGCATTTTGTTCCTGAGTGGCTCCTCCCTCCTCCTTTCCAGAATCATCCAGGCTCATTCCTATCAGCCTACAAACTATTCTCCACTGAGGCAATTCTGACACATAGATGTGGAAATAACCTCTTTACGTCAGCATGACGGGGACTTATCACTTCTTTTGGACCTGGACGTTTCTGAAAATCTCATCAGGCCTCTCCAGAACGTGTTGCAACGCTCTGCTTCTCCCTCACCCCACCTGTGCCAACACTCTGCTTCTCTCTAGGAACTAGGTCTACCCTGTGCACACTGGATGCCAACCCCTCTCACTGACTTTGGCATTTTGTTCCTGAGTGGCTCCTCCCTCCTCCTTTCCAGAATCATCCAGGCTCATTCCTATCAGCCTACAAACTATTCTCCACTGAGGCAATTCTGACACATAGATGTGGAAATAACCTCTTTACGTCAGCATGACGGGGACTTATCACTTCTTTTGGACCTGGACGTTTCTGAAAATCTCATCAGGCCTCTCCAGAGTACTCTGCACTCTCACATTTGTGTAAAATCCTAATGGTTCCTAGACTCAGAGGTGACACCCATCATCTAGGCAAGTGGAGGCTTGGGCTGGTGCAGGTGGCTGGAGTGAGAGGCTCTGACCACCCTCTGACAGACTCTGCTTCTCTCTAGGAACTAGGTCTACCCTGTGCACACTGGATGCCAACCCCTCTCACTGACTTTGGCATTTTGTTCCTGAGTGGCTCCTCCCTCCTCCTTTCCAGAATCATCCAGGCTCATTCCTATCAGCCTACAAACTATTCTCCACTGAGGCAATTCTGACACATAGATGTGGAAATAACCTCTTTACGTCAGCATGACGGGGACTTATCACTTCTTTTGGACCTGGACGTTTCTGAAAATCTCATCAGGCCTCTCCAGAGTACTCTGCACTCTCACATTTGTGTAAAATCCTAATGTTTCCTAGACTCAGAGGTGACACCCATCATCTAGGCAAGTGGAGGCTTGGGCTGGTGCAGGTGGCTGGAGTCAGAGGCTCTGACCAGCCTCTGACAGGAGTCCAGGGGAGGCAGAAAATGCCAGCCCTCCCTTTCTTCCCACGTGCTGCTTCCCTGTTTAGTAGCCTCCTATGTAATAGAGTCACTGTCAAGTGCATGACTCAGTTCCCACCAAAGCCACCAGAGTGGTGGGGGAACCAGAAGACACAACCTGGGCTCCTAAAAGGAGGTGCACCTCCACCTTCTCTCCTCTTGGCCAAAGACAGTGTACTCTGCTGGGCTGAGCCAGGGTCTCTCAGGGAAACCAGCAGTTAAATCTCTTACTTTTTTTGTCCAGCTTCACCTGCCTGAGAAGATAAGACAGCCACATGCAATACTACTCATCATTTAGAATCATTTCCGATTCTTGACATTTAAAATCATGAACTAGAGCAACGTGGACTTGGGGCCATGAAATTCCATGATTTCTAAGAGCCTGTTCCGTGGTCTGTCATGTCTACCTCTTGCCTAAGGGTAGGCTCTTGGGAGGCCGAACCTGTGCTCTAACTCTAAAGCTTTCGCCAGAATTTAGCACAGGCTTGGCACATGCTAAGAGGGTGATGCAGGTAGAATTACTGCAAATGGGAGACAAGAAAAGCAACCGGAGACCAGGTTCCTTTGACTGCCTGGACTCACTCTCACCTGCAGATTGGAAGACACCTCTACCAAAGACCTGCCTTTCACTGCGTCACCAGCTGCCAGATTCTCACCATAACACACTCACTTCTGGCAGGAATTGTTTGGGCAGTATTTGACCTAAGAAATGACCCACAGTGCCAGCTTTTGGGAGAAACTGTAACTGCCAGCTTTCTACCTATGTAAATCTTTCCAAAGGAGGGGGAGGGGTGGTGGTGGATGCAAAACAATGACTACTACTGCTTCGACCGCTCTGCTCTACCCCAACGCCATGACAGAACAACAGGTGTGGTCTCATGCCAAGAGGCTGCACCTGCGGTGCATCCATTTATTCCTTTCCTCGTCCCACTGATCTTTACTGAGCAAGCACCATGCAGCAGGCATCACATGAGAAGACAGAATCCAAAGGCAGAGACTCAGCCTGTGACTTCGAGCAGCTGCTCATCAGCAAATAGAGACGAACACGAGTAGCGCTGATGACAACATGCAGTGAGTGTCAAACGACACACAAAGGGAAGGGCTGACTCTTGCCGGGCCGGTGGGGGTGGTGTCACAGAGGACACAACCTTTCAGCTAGGGCTTAAAAAGTCACAAGGAGAAGAAGGGCTTCCAGCCAGAGGCACATGACATGGAAAGGTCCAGCATGCTACCACCTAGAGATGGGGGAGGGAGAAGGACTAGCAGGAAATGAGGCAGCAATGTACCCAGGCCAGTGTTTCGTGGGGGACTTTGACTGCTGGACTAAGAAAATGATATTTGGACCAATAGGTGGTCAGTGCCAGAATTTCATAGGAAGAGTGGCCTGGTCAGCCTTGGGCTTGCAAAGGGAGCAGGGAGAAGATGAATGTTCAGGGCTGAGGCCTGAGGCAGGGGGATCACGTAGAAGGCAGGCAAAAGAGCTCAGGAGAGTAGAGGGCAGGGCGGGTGTGGACGGGACAAGGTGGTCAGAAAGCCCTGGGCATGCATATCTCACAGGTGTAAGAGGACAGGGAGAGAGCTCTAGGAAAGTCTGCTGTTGAGGGGACAGGCTGGGAGGAAGGCCCCCAGCTCGAAGCCCAAGGTGAAGTTCTTCGGATGGTAGTATTTGATTTCAGGCATTACTGGGTATTAAAGTAAAATGCCTAGAATAGATGTGATGACTGAAGAACTGAGAAGACCGTATCAAATTTTCTTTCCAGGAACTGGAGCATGTACTCTAGGGAAATGGCTGGGACTTTATTAAGAAGCCCAGTTCCAGTCAGGGACCCTAAAGCCGGGAACACTGCCTTTCCCTGAGAGGCCAGGGGACCAGATGACCCAGTGGGCATAGGTTCTGCACAGAAGCATGAGGGGAGCACCAAAATACTGTCTTCTTTCCCCAAACTGAACGACTGTTTTTTCTAGGCCAAGTGGTTGGAAGGGTAAATTTTAGAACTTTCTGGGCAGAACCAAAAACAAAATGCTTGAAGGACTAAGACCTGGTTCACCCCGTCACAGTATTTGCGAGTACTTCATTCTTTTCAGTGGCCAAATGACATGCCACTGTATCACTACATCACATTTCCCCCCTCTGGTCCATTTATCAGCTGGGGGAAATTGAGAGTGGCTGCTAATGGGAACGGGGTTTCCTTTGGGGTGAAATAAAAAACGCTTAAAAATTGATTGTGGTGATAGTTGTACATATGCTAAAAACCCATTGAATTGTATGCTTTAGAGGGATGATGATATGGTATGTGAAATGCATGCAAAAAAGCTGCCCCATTACAAACGACAGCAACAAACCAAACAAGAAACACCAATCCCTCCCACGAAATCAGACCGTCTCCTCGCTGCAGCAGCTCCCAGCTCTGGGCTTCCGACCTCCTCTGCCCCTTTAAGCCCTTCCTGCTTCTGGATGGGCGATCCCACCCCCCACAGCCTGGCCGTCCTCCCGAGAGACCCCCACATTTCAGCTGGGCTCCACTAGATTAAGGAAGTCCTCAGTTCAGGCCTCTCAACTTCTTTTAACTCTTGCCTCCTGGAATGCTTTCCAACCTACCAGAGCCGATGTCTAACTTCACGTTCTGTATTTGCTTTATAAAATGTCCTCACAGAGGTGCTCCTAGCAGCTGTACCCCACAGGGTGCAGACAGCTGCCCGGAGCCCCTCGTTAGACAGGAGGGTGCCCCTGATGTGAGACTGACACTGTGTGGTCATTTCCTAGGAACAGTCCTCCCTCTACAGCCTGGACATTGTCACTTGACCCAACTCCCTGTTGCTAGGACACAGGGGACCTCATTGGCTTCTTCGTTCCAGGCCATTTACCTGGGCGTGGCTAGTTAACACCAAAGAGAACAAGAAAGAAAGGTCAAGAAGAATCTTTGGAAGAGTATGCCTCTTGGTTAATAAATTCTCTACACTGCTCCAGATACAGGAGAGCATAAAACGTACTGCCCCCGGCTTGCAGAGCACAGGGCAGTGCTCTTTAAGTGGAGAGGTGCTTCAACTTACAATTCTCTCTCAATCACAATTCCAGGTCAGCTTATGCCACAAGAATCTTGCTGAGTAAAACAACAAAGCAACACAAGTTCTAGCAGAAATCACTTTTACCAGTCTGATCTCTCAGTGTCGATTAAAAATCAGCTACTCATGGGACCAGCAGTTAGCGTAATGGCTATGTCGCTGGACTCCCACGTAGTCAACCGCGGTTCAAGTCCCGGACCCGGTGGCTTAAACTCACGCCGGGTGCGTGTGCGTACGTGCCCAAGATCCCAAGAGGAGAATAGAGGAGAAGGGATTGCGGCGTGGCCATCCCCCCTGGGGGGTGATTTCCTGCTTTCTATCTCTCTGGCTCTCTCTGTCTGTCTGGCAAGCGCACGCGCCCTATAGCAAAAACCTCTCAAAAAAA